TTCCCTTCCTTCTGGTGGTTCCCAAATTGACTGGTTAACCCATTGATTGATGAAACTACCTTTGTGTTCTTAGGCTTGAAATAGTGGGCTAAAGGGTTGGGTTTCTCTGGGGTTCGGTAGGTCAGATTTGGGTGGTTTCTTGGCTATTTTGGTAAACTGCTCAGTCGATGATCCAAGCCAAGGTTGAAAGAGGTTTGGTTGGTTCTTGATCTCTCTCTGGACGGCGATTGCAAGGCGTGGAGGGGCTGTTCATGAGCCTAATCTATTCGGCCAGCAAGAAGAGAAGAACAGCCTGTAAAATGGCAAGAAGAAAAAGGCAGCCTTACTTGGACGATACAAAGGAAAGTGGCGTTCTGCTCCTGTTTCTGTCCAGTATATGTTTTTCGTTTCTCTGCACTTATATATAGTCTTGTTTATGTTCTGATTTCATGGTTCATGTTTAATCTGCTGGTTTCTGTTATATGTAAATACATTGGTATATGTTGAATACTATTGTATGCTGATTCTGGAGTATGTTGAGTTCAGTCCATGTTTCCCTTATGTTGTAACATTGATTACATTCTGCTGGGATTGAATATTACTATTGAACTGTCATCATTTAGAATAAGCTAAGATGAACTCCACTGTGTCTGATATTATGCTATGAAAAATCTGCATTGTGCTATATATTCCCAACATCTGGTATCAGAGCTATGGCTATAGGTCTAGGGCTTTTTATCCTTCATTGATTTAGGCATTGTGAATGTGCTATTTGGGTCAATTAATTGTTTTTGGCATTCTAGGGTTTCTAATTCAATACTAATTATTTGAAACTTTCTGTTGTGCATGTTGTTGACTGATTGGTGACGAGTGATTCTGATGAACTTTGGCTGGCTTGTTCGACCGAGGGTATTTTTAATGTTTTTCAACAGTAGTTTGGTAAGATTATTCCAAACTCTCCGATATGTTAAGTTTGGTACTTTTACCATTTTTATGCACGATTGCTTGATTACTAAATGCTTGTGATTAATTTGTAACCTGAAAATCACGTTTATCAGCATTATATACTTGTGCATTGCCTAAGTTTGAATCACACCGGCACACACATCATACTGAAGTTTAAGTGATCGAATTGATTAGGTGTTATGTTTCATTTCTGGGCATTGTTTTTTAACTCTGCATTCATATTGTGTGTTGATCATTTAGAAAAGATTTTTTCAAAACCTTTTGCAGAATCTGGAATGGGTTCGAGGGTCGAATTATCGCAATTCGATGGAAATGGTGACTACTCAATTTGGAAATAGAAAATGAGGGCCATTTTGGTCCAACAGAGAGTTGCTAAAGCTCTCGATGATCTTTCGAATTTTTCTAACGAGTTAAAAGCTAAACTTGATGAAATAGAAGAAATGAATGAAATTGCATATAGTTCCATAATCTTGCATTTATCTGATAACATTGTTAGACAAGTTGATCATGCTAAAGATGTCAGGACATTATGGACTGCCTTAGATGCCTTATTCTTGACTAAAACTTTACCTAACAAGATCTATCTGTTATAAAAGTTGTTTATCTTTAAGATGGACCCTGGGAAAGATGTAGAAGGGAATTTGAGCGATTATAGCA